CAATATCTTTAATTGTATAAATCCAAAAATTATCCAGGGGTTCATAAAAATTCATTTAATAATCTTAAAATAATTTCTATCATAAAACAAACACAATTAAATTAATTTGATGGGAAAAAGATCCATATGGTTTAGGAATCAATAATTATGGAGCACTCCACCTTCAATTGTGGACTACAGACCACACTTGCTTTATCAGACTAACCGAGTGTTTCCCACGACTCACAGTCCAAGCAAGGGCTCATTAGCGGGTCACCAAAATCCAACCGATGAGCCAAGGGATCACAATCCCAGTCTGTAGATTTCAGGTCCTCTTCAAGAGACGAGTCAATATCACCTAGACTTAATGCGACCATAGCTCCTATAGTGTATAGGGGTATCTCTCGCATATACATACGCTTCACCCTAAAAGTTGGATTTCTAACTTTCTCGAACGATCTATCGATATGTATGCTGTGTGATGGTACATGGATGAGGTTTTGACCCATGTCTCTGTAGGCCACCATCACACACAAGGGTTACACAGTCTCTCGGCTCACTCATCTAGACATGTTCTCCGACCTCATTAAGAGCTAACCCATAAACCATCATCGGTTTGTTCTTCATGCCCAAGTAACATGGGTTTTTCCCAACCGACTGGTCTAGATCGATAAACACAGATCGGTATTTACAAACCATCATTTGCTTAGTATAGTCTACGAGGGAATACACTCTCACTGTATCATTTCATTTTACAAGCACTCATAAGCCTTTAAAGGCCGCATGAACCCATCCATACTTGCTTGGAAAAGACCCGAGGCTTAATTAGTTAGCACTTTACCAACGCTATGTCTTCGATACCATTTTATAAGAAAGAGCAGGCATTCTTAAAGAAGTATATAGCCCCTTTGCCAACTAATGTTGAAGTTCTTTTTAAAAGAGAACTTCTATGGGAACTAAAGATTTTTCGAAAATGTTTTGGTTGATCAGAGGTATTGCTTAGAAAATAGCATCTCTGGATTCCATTGAAGGAAGTTGTTGGTTTTAAGTTAATGGGCGGGTTCAGAAATTATTTCTATAGTAGATTGTACTAATTTATTTGATGAGAGATATTAAAAGTTGTGCTGACTCCAAATAGTTGAGAAAAAATTGATTCTCATATTTGCTTCAATAAAACATGCCTTCACGTATTTCAAAATGTATAGCCTTTCAGCGCGATAGCATCCTACGCATAATTAAGTCAATTTTAAAAAACATATTATCATCATTAAAATGGTCAGACCACCTCAAAACTCTTTTCATTTAAGTACGACCTGAAAGACTACCTAAATTTTTTTAAAAAAATATCCTCGTTCGAGCTTTGTCAAACTAAATATATGAAAGTATTTTGGATAATGTGGCCCCTTAAATACATGAAAGTATTTTGGATAATGTGGCAACTTAAGCTGCTCAAATTAAATGATACATCCAAATATATTGTATTCTTAGGGCATAATTTACTAGTTACTTAGTAATTTTGGTTTATGACACATCCTAATTACCTAAGCCCTAAATTTTAAACACCATTAAAAGGTTAGACTATTGGTCAAATGACTATAATTTGAAAATGAAATGAAACTTCATTCAAAATTTTGTTAAAGACCTTGAAAGTTCGCATTTTCGAAGGAACTGCCAAAAACGATGCTGTCTAAGCTTGACCTCAGAATATTCGAAAGATATAAGAATTCTTGACTTTTATTACTTAAATTTACAAATTCCTTTCAATACCAATCATCAATAAAAAACACACTCGCACACACACAGTCTCTCTCTCTTCTCATGACAAATCTGAATCATTAATCAAAATCGGTGTGCAAAACCACAAATCGGGGCCCGGACTCCGCCCATGCCCAATTCAAATAGCTCGGGCTGAGTCTGGCCAAGCCAAAAAAATTTAAAAATAAAAAAATCTTAAAAAATAGAAACAAATGTTGAAAGTAAAATTAAACAAAGCACATCTAAATGAGTTTAAAAAAATAGAGAAAATAATTTTAGAAATAATCCAAAAAGTATGGGATAGGTATTTATGGTCAATACACTGTCCAATCTTTGCCACAATGATAGAAAACATAAAATAATATATATTATAAATAAATATCTTATTTTTTTGTATTTTTTAAATCTTTTTTAAGATCCCCAAGCCAGACGACCCAACTCGAGGATACTCAAACTCGTCAATGGATACTCAAACTTACCCCCTGGCGAGTCCGAGTTACTCGAGCGAATCCAACTTGAAAAATCTAATTTTGGAAAGCTAGCAAGGCAATGTGGCCGCCTTGTCCATTTCATGTCCTCAACACGTCATGTATAACTCCATGAATCTTTCCCTCTTTAGAATGCGTATGCTAACCCACTTCCTACCAACCATTGAATCCCAATTTCCAAAAATTATATATAAATAGCTCAAATCTAGAAACATAAGCCCAACTCAAAGGGAAGAGGAGGTCCATGATGATGAATTCTGCCCTTCATGTCTCCCCTTCAATACCTTATCTTTCTCTTAAAGCCAAGCCTTCCATTCTCTCTCACGAATCGAGAAATACACACGATTTGAGGTACTCAAATGATATTACTATGTTTCAATTATTGGTATTTCCTTTATAGTGCATAATTTAGGAGAATTTATTAGTGTATATGACCCATGGTTCTCAGTCATAGATTTGAGTGGATGGTTAAGATAGCTTGAGTCTAACTATCAGATCTTGATTAGACGGCTCATAGTTTTTTATTTTCTATTTTTATTCTATAAATAATTTTGAAGCAAAATTTGAGGCATAGATCTGATAGGGGTGCACATGATAAAAATAATAAAAAATATTTTTGGTGATAAAAAAGTACCAAAATACCCTTGAAAATTATAGGGGTATTATGGTCATTTATTTTTATGGTTCGCCCTAAATTTATTATAAGATGCCCAAAATTTCATACAAAATTCTTTGTAAGAAAAAGGAAAAATAAAATTGTGTTCGGCATGACATTGTGGTATGAACAATCGTAGCCGTTCGATTAAAGATCAACTGCTAAGAAATGGAGTCACATATCACTCATATGTTGTTGAGATCATACAAAAACATTTCCCATTCATTTCTAATTTTGAGTCAACTGATCCAACTTGAGTGATTCCCAAGTTAGATCATCGTATGGATATATAGAAAATAAAAATAATTAAAAAATTCGGCAATTCCATGATTTCCCTAGAACTGGATTGTCCACCTACCGATCTTGAGCTTCCTTGCGCTCTATTCCTAGTTGGCTTGGCAAAATGTAAAACACTGATTCCAATTAATGGGATTACTCTACATCTTAGGGTTCTCGATCTCATTTTAAAATTTTGTGCTCTAACAATCCATTTTTATTATTCAAATACTCATAATTTTCTTGTTTAACCTCTTCAAAATTTGGACTATGCATTTTTATATGTACCTCACCATAATAAGTGTATTGTAAGCTACAGTTTGATATAATTTGGATGATTTACAGGTCCAAGGATGAAATCTGTTGGGCAAAGAGAGCATTTTCAAGCTTAGCATGTGTGGCTCTGGTAGGGTTCGGATTAGGGTTTTCAGATGGTCAAGACAATGTATCAGCCTATGCAAGAGAGAGATTAAATGTAATTTCTAATGGTGAGGGGAAAACATTGAGATGGAGTGAGAGAAGAAAGTGTCCTCAGTGGCACATGAATTCTCTAGAGAGAATAGTGCCTGAGAACCTCCCCAGGGCACCAAATCATGGTGGTTTTGCAAACAATGTTCCTCGTTCTAAGAGCAGTGCTAATGGTGAATCTACTCCATTTCTTCTCTTGGATGAGAGTTGTTTCTCTCTCTAGAATTGTTTCTCTCTCTCTAAAGGGCGAGGTTTACATAAAGTTCCCTCTGTATATTATAGAATAAAGACGGGTGCTTTTATGAAGATTTAGTTTCGGTGTCAGAAACTTCATAATGGTTAGAACTTTTGTATTCAACCATAGTTATAGAATTGAAAGTTTGAAAACTGGTATGGATGGGGCAGATTTATAATCATTTGAAAATTTATAAATAGACGGTCTATATAACTTACTATAAGATGTACAATTTTGAGACTTAAATTTTTTTGTTTCTGTATGTCTATACATCTTGAGGTCGAGATGATCTATTAAAAAGTTTTATAGTTTCAAAATACTATTCTCTACTAGATTGAGGTGCACTTCATTTCTACAATATAAGGTTGCAACCTTATACAAACTTTTTCCCTCCCTGAACTACTATTGGCCGTGTAAAACGTGCAAAGGAATTGTTCATCCACAATATATCAATCAATCAAATATGCCGTTTGTCGTGCAGCAATCAATCAATCTGTAAGCCATCTGGTTCACATGGTACATTTAGAAGAAGAATTGTGGTTGAATTCCACCTTTCCTGGGACACATGTGTGAGAGAGAGATTGCATAATTCGAAGACCGATTCATGATCGGTTG